CCCCCCCCCCCCCCCCCCACCTCCACCTCCACCTCCACCACACATCATACACACAGCGAGCACGCAGCCGGACATCAGAGGCACCGGGAAGGTTTGACCTGTAACGTCCACTGAACTCTCCTCTCTGTCTGCGCGAACACAGACGACAAACACCGGACCGGGCTGGCTTTGAAGTCGGAGATAAAGACGTTTGCAAGGGCATGTTTTCACATCGGAGCTGTTGATAATGCTTTTTTTTTTTTACATGAAGGCAGCAAAAAAGATGGAACCACAATGTTTTCTGGAGGCCTCAAAGTTTGACTCAATCGCTGGAAACATGGTAAAGCTCGACATTAAGTGGAAACCTTCGCATTCCTTCCATCGCCACTTGAGTTCATAAAGTGGCACTTTTGAGTTGAAATGCTTTATATCAAACGTTATAACGAGAATCCTTATTCAAGGCTTGGCCAATAGCTGTTTGACAAGCCCATTTGACAACTCGGTCCCGGTTGATCTTTTACACATGAAGCCTACAAAACGAGTCACGCCGCTCCGTCACTCTTTGAGAATTTGTCACTTGCAGAACTCCCCTCCAGCGATTTGGTGGTTTTTCGAAAATTCAAATCAGCAGCGTACTGTAGAAGTCAATGGTTTACCATTGAAGACACTGGTGCACCGCAGCGGCGGTAAGGCTACCATACCTTCACCAGTGTGTTTCAGTGCTGGTATGTTGGCTCCCAGGCCCATTGAGTCTATGAAGGCAGAGGTGTAGTGTGTGTTTTCACTGTCTCCTCCCTGGGAATTCCCCTCTGTTCCAGCCTCTAACAGCCTGTTGGAGCCGCAGCTGTACATATGTATGTGTGTGTGTGTGTGTGTGTGTGTGTGTCGGGATGTATACACAGTTATTCGCATTTCAGTGTGCGCGTATGCATGCGTTAATGTAAGCGTGCGTGTGCATGTGTGCGTTTCCTCCCTGATTCCCAGGGTTCTGCCGAGTTAAACCCTCTTAAATGTCCCCCTGGCTTTTGTCCTCACGTTTCAGCTGAATTTCCCCGCATTCATCCCACCATTCAGACTCTGTGTGTTCGAGCGCTCAGGAATGCACTGGGTTTGACAGGCGCCTGAACTGTGTGTGTGTGTGTGTGTGTGTGTGCATGTACATGCGTGTAAATGAGTATGCAACAGAAAGAAAGACGAAGAGCTTTGGAAAGTGGAGCGGATTCTTTTTTTTTTTTTTCCTCCACCTCCTTTTGATGCAAAGGTCGGACTCGGAAACACACAATCGCCTTACCTTTTCACACACATACATTTCACCTTCATCTACACACACACACACACACACACACGCACACACACACGCACACACACACTCAACACCCACACACACTTGGAGTCACATGTGCTCTCACTCAAAGAGAGCTCTGCACCCACTCACCCTGACACCCACACAACCACCCACACACTCACGTGCACTGCCAAATAGCTCTCACTCTTTACCCCCTCCCACCCTATTCCCTCCCCACCCGCCACCACTGAGCACACACATGTCAGCACACACACACAGACACACACACAGACACACACACACACACACACACACACACCCCCACACACACACAGTTTCACACTAAGTGCCGGGCATGCGCCTGATCTGGTTTCCTCTTTGCTTTGCGAGCGACCCGCAGTGATAAAATAAACACAAATACGTGATAATCACATTCCAGACATTTTTCTCCTGCCGGTGGGAAGTTTCAACTGGTTTTCTGCAAGAGTTGGTTTGACTGTGTGTGTGTGTGTGTGTGTGTGTGTGTGTGTGGTGTGCAATCCCGGAGAGAAAAAAGGAGAAAGAAAACGAGAGAGAGAGGGAACAAAGAGATCTTGGGGAGAAGTCTCACACATTCCTCAGTCCTGCCAATATCCAGTATACTAGAGCATCACAGCTCAACACACACACACACACACACACACACACACAAAAACACACACACACACACATACACACACACAGACACACACACGCGGTATGAGACAGCCAGATCTGAATAAAATTTCCTCATTTGCACTACATCTGTGGCATCAATCTGACATGAACAATTCCACTTTGTCTTTTTTTTTTTTGCAAATCATATCATGCAACATTAAAAACAAAACCTCCCACTGACAATGGCATCATCAAACCCCAACAAAAAAAAGAAGCACTGCATGGGATTTAAAACTTGGAAAAGGTGAGTGAAAACACACACACACACACACACACAACAAAATCCAACCCCTTTTGAATACGAAGCTTCTGAATAGCAACAAGAAAAGACAGTCCTACCTTATTACAGATTTTCTACATAGAAAGGGACACAGAAGCCGTGAGAAAGAGTCTGTAAATGTGAGATTGGGAGACTTGTGTTGAGAGAGTAGATGCAGATGGGACGTACCTGAGCACATGGCCCGCATGGCATGCACACTTCCTCAGTCAACACGCTTTGTTTCTCCTCCTCTCTGCTGCTGCATGCTTCTCCTCCATCTGTCTGTCTCTCTGCGTCTCTCTTCTTGTCTTTCTCCCCCTTCCCCACTCTCTCTCTCTCTCTCTCTCTCTCCCTCCCTCTCTCTCTCCCTCCCTCTCTCCTCCCCTCGTGTGCTCTACGGATCCTCTTCTCTCTCTCTCTGCTGCTCTCTTCAAACTTCTCAGTTGTTTTTTTTCGAAAAAAAAAAATATTAAAACAACTTGTCCCTCATTTTGCACCTCCCTCTTCTTCTCTGCCTCTTGCGCTCAATAAAGTCGAGCCTCTTTATGCAAGTGAGAGTGATCCATGAAGGCAGTCTTAAGAATGTTCCTCTCCTCCCCCCAACACCGCATGGTGTGTGTGTCTATAAATATATATGTATATGTCATTAAACATGTCAAATTTACAAATTACAGTAAACGTTCCTATACTTTTACTTCCACAGCACAATACGCCTCGACAATAATATGCATTTCTCCAGTACATTCAAACGGGCAAATCTCAGCTTTCTATGCTGAGGAGAGTGGATGAGTGAGTCAGAGAGATGGAGAATGTGAAAGACGGACTAATGGAGGACGGCATAAGAACATATGTCATCCAAGCTTCAAGCGGCCTTGTAACGAGCTGTATGATACGGTGAATTTCTTTATTTGAGGTCTTTCAGAAATATTTATTTGTCATACCAGCGAAATGAAAGGACATACAAATTGTGAAAATATATTCCCAGCCAACCTAAAGGTTACATTTATATGCTACTAAATGGGTAAGTAGAATGGAGGAAACACAAAAAGGTGGGTTTGTTCACTGGCAATGGTTTTTTTCTTTTTTTTTCCAGTACAGGAAGTGCTACGTCTTTATACTGTTGCACGCGGAATTGCGTTCAAAGTGCAAGACCAGAGACCAGGTCTCATGTCTGCGTCTCACAGGTTGTACGCTTCAGGCTACAAAAGCGCTTTGGTTCAAGGAGAGATGTGGGTTTTAATTCAATGTTGAGTTGTGTCATCGACTTTTTTCAAACGATGACAGTCTTTCCCTACCTGAAACCCTAAGAGGACTTTTAGTCCCCAAATATATTAGAAAATGCACCTTGCATAAATTCTGATTGAAAAAATGAGTTGTCATAACCACAGATAAGACTAGCTATCTAGCTAGCGAGCCGCAATGCTAAAGTGACGTCTTGCACACGTAGCGGGGTTGGTTCGCCTCCGACCGTGTCCTGGATTGTAAGGTGGTCGACACTTTGTATTTTATTTAGGTTTTATTGTATAACTTCTACAGTATTATATTATTTTCTTCAGTTTACCACTAGACACGTGTGGCGCCCTTTCAGCGGTTGATTTGGGGAAAAAATTCCAACGTGACGTCACCGTGGCTGCTCCGTCTTTCACCGTCTCTACCGTTGTTGAACTCGGCCGAGCCAACCAACCGCTTGACGTCACAGGTTAGAGTACCGCAACACGGCGGTATACAATCGCCACGAAAGATACAACGAAGCTTCTTTTTCTTCTTCTTTTAACTGTTTACATTTGACATGTTAGTTACAAAATTGTTGAAATGGAGACTCATTTAGTAAATCAGCCTGACTTGGTTGACTGCTTCATTTCCACCAAGTCCTTTTGATTTGCCAACACATAACCATAACATGCGGATATTGTTATGTGAACAAATGAAACACGTCGGAGTAACAACAATGTAGCAACATGCCATAAGCATAGAATGTCTTCATTAATTAGTTCAGACGTATAATTGTAGATAAACCACGTTTTGCATTGACTTATCATGAGAAGCTTTAAAAACATCCACCAGTTCCTGATCATGTGAACCTGAAGAAGCCACAATGCAAAACAACAATATCTGAACTAATGCATGAAGACATTCCTGGTGTTTCTACGCTCATCTCCTCATTATGTTGACAAAAAAAGTGGAATCTGTCAAAATCGGTCATATTTACTGTTAGAAATGAGTGATACGTGAACACGTCTCAGGAGACGGGGTTGTACTATCCTGGGTGAAGAATAACAACAAAGTAAAAGTATTAAAATACAAACCATTGAAATATGATGTGATAGATATTAAGTGTATAAGAAGAAACACTGAGATCAGTGCAAAATAGAATGGCAAGATGAGTAAAATGAATTTAGTAACATAAGTAAACTAGTAAAGAGAGTACGTTGGTTACTACAACATAAGATTAAAACAAGAGTAGAAATATAAAGTGTAGAAGAAGTAAAATAACACCGGTGCTTGATAGAAGCTAAGATAGAAAGGTAATATTGTGTATGATGTTGAGAGTTATATTTGCAATTATATTGAAAGGTAACTCAACAGTATTATTGCACATGATATTATTCTCTGTGTCCGATGTTCCAGCTGTCCTTCCTGCAGAAGGTGGGGGAGTTATACGGTTTGATGGCCACTGCTAGTAAAGACCTCCTGTAGCGTTCTGCGGTGCACCTCGGTGGTCTCAGTCTACAGCTTAAGGGGCTCCGAAGTGCCTCCGATGTGGCGTGCAGGAGATGAGAGGCGTTGTCCGTAATACTGAGGAGTTTGCTCAGCATCCTCCAGCAGAGACTCCAGTTTCACTCCCAGGACAGAGACAGTTTATTGAGTCTGTCAGCATCAGCTGCCTTCAGCATTGTGGGTCAGAATAGCCAGGAAAGCATGCTGGGTGGCACACTGCAAAATGCGACTAGATAAAGTAGGACATCCTGGTATTTTTGGTCAAACTGCATTTCACATTCCATGTATTAAGACCTTTTAAATAAATAGTATGGTAGCATAGATATTGGACGACAGGATATCTCAGACGGAGGGATTTTCCTCACATGTGGCGCAAACGTCCACTTGGATTGAAGGATGAATTCATTCGATTTCGGTGAGCAAAGCTCTAGCTCACGCTCTCCTTACGAAATACATTTTTCCGCCATAACGAAGGAATAATTAATTTGCTAATTATGAGATTTTCACACAAATGACTAAAAGAGTAAAATGATGAAGTGATGACATTATGGACGGATGTGATTATTGCAAATTGCAACTTCACTATTTGGCGAAGGCATAGAAGTGGGAGCCGGGGATTCTAGTTCATTTCTTTTTCTTCTACCATTTAACCTCCGGCCTCCGTAGCCTTGAGAACAACCTGGTCAGGGGAGCTTTATTATTGCATGAATACATGTGTGCTCTGTGTGATTCACACTCTTCCAGCAGCCACACGTTTCCCTGCTCTGGACGCAGAGAAAGCGAGAAAACACATACGTGTGTTGACGTTGCAATCACAAATTCCAAACGTGGTTTAGTAGGGCAGCGGCAACCCAAACACAGCTCAGGGGGCTGCGAGAGGGGATGAATGTTGTCCATAATCTGCCGTTGTCTTTTCCATTCCCCCTCCAAATATTATCCCATGTTTCCACCGGCTCCATAATATTATGGAAGGGAAGGGGACGGGGAATCTGGGTGCTTTGAGGGGACAACAGTCACAGTCCAGTGCGAATGTGTACCGTTTTGATTGACCGGTTGATTCGTAATGCTTAATTTACCCACGAGGCACGTCGCCTACTGATCGAGCCCACAATCAAGGCACAAGGCGAGTGATTTCATCTTGCTTTCTGCTTCAATGCGGCAGATTAGAAGCTCTTCGGGAACAGCCTTTCTAGTGAATGACCATCCTGCATGCCCACCTCCTCTTCGCATCCGCCCTTCTTCCCCCGGCCAGCTGTGTATGTGTGTGTGTGTGTGTGTGTGTGTATGTACGAGTGTGTGTATTTGTGTGTGGGAGTGTGAGGGTGAAGGAGGACCACTCTGCGTGGGCTGAACAGTGCCCGGGCTTTCTCTGCTGTGGTGTTAATAGGCCTTTTTTCTCCCCTCAGCGGGACACAGAGAGCTGTCATTTACATGGAGGTAATGGAGTGATGTAGAAGTGGATGGAATATGTGTGGGCGAACGATGATGAAGGCCTATAGCACCTCTCGCTCTCTCTCTGTCTCCCTCACTCATTTTTTCCCAACTCTTGCTTTTCTTTACAGTCTTTCTCTCGTTCCCTGCCTCGCTGAGAGCCTTACTCTCTCCTTCTCTGACATTACTCATCAAGAGGTTGTCGTGATTGCTGCCAATCAGAGTAAACACCGGAAAGTAAACAGCAAATGTCCTTGACAAGGTCTCTTTTTTCTTGTTATTTTCTAAAGTCGGCTTCTGCACAAGCCGAAGAAAGAAAGGTAGCAGTGACGAGAGCGAGTTGATAGAATTGAATGTCTCTGCATATCAATTGGACATTCTTTCATAACGTATTAACAATCATTTGGTTATCAAATCATTTTTGTCTCTCTTGGCAGTGGCACCGTGTCAACGGGCTGAGCTTGAGCTCCATCCAAACACATGGGAGAATGAATTCACTCTGTGGGAGAGTAAAATAGCCCGTGTGGAAGGGGAAGGCAATCATCCAGCCAAGCTGCCACCATGAATTTAGTTGTTCAGTTAAATGACATGAATTTCAGAGAAAGGCTTTAATCGATGCTCTGCCAGCTGCATTGAAACGAAACAAACGGTTGAAAAGCTTGATGAAATATTACATCGTTAACTGCTTTATCTCAAAAAAAATACGAAAAAGATTTTGAGAAATGGGAAATTCATGAAGTTTTTACCAAGGAAACAATGTAAATGATCAGAAAGCTCTCTTCACAGAACCCAGTATCAATGCAGGTTTTTAAATAGTCAAGAAATGCAATCTATTGGTTTTCGTATGCATGGACACAAATATTTGTTTTATTGGTGTCGCTCATGACGTAAAGAATGTCAATGGAAAGTCAGTTAGGATCCTGTTTCGTGGTGGAACCATGAATTAAACGCATCCACTTGAGACGGTCAACGGTCAGAGCTAGAATTAAATATTAAAAAGACCGTTTAGGGTGGACGGACGTGGAGGAGGATCGGTCCGACAGTTTTCAATACCAAGTGTCCCAAATTGTTTTTGTTATTTTAAGGTTTTTTTCTAAACCTAACTAAGTGTTTTTGTGTTTTTGTTCTGTAACGTGATGTTGTCCCGAAAAAGAAGT